GAAATACCTGGGATTAACATGACAGCTAAAAATGGGAATCTATTTAAAGACAGTTATGAAAAATGCTGGGCTGAAGTGAAAAAAGATTTAGAAATTTGGTCAAATTTGAAGCTTTCACTGCTAGGCCGTATTGCTGCGATAAAAATGAATGTATTGCCTAGAATTTGTCTGGCAGGGCAAGAAGCCTAGAATAAAATTTAAAATACTAACGGATGTAAAGGAAAGAGGTGGATTTGCCCTGCGAGACCTTAAACTTTATTACGAATCAGCAGCTTTTTGCTGGCTGAAAGAATGGCTGCTTCTTGAAAACACAGACATTTTGGATTTAGAAGGTTTTAATAATGTATTTGGATGGCATGCATATTTGTGGTATGATAAGGTCAAAGCACATAAAGCATTTAAAAATCATATTGTCAGGAAAGCATTGTTTAATGTCTGGATAAGATATAAGGACCTATTGGAAAACAAAACCCCAAGGTGGCTGTCACCGATGGAAGCGAAAGCTCAGAAAAAGCTCAACATGGAGGCCAAATGGCCGAAATATTGGGAAATTCTGGAACAAGAGGGAGATAGATTGAAACTGCAGAGTTTTGAGAAACTAAAAAACAAAGTGCGAGATTGGCTTCATTATTATCAGATAATGGAGGCATACAATTTGGACAAGAAAATTGGCTTCCAGGTGGAAAAATCGAAATTATAAACAGAACTGTTAGAACCCAAAACTAAGATTTTGTCAAAGATGTATAACTTGCTGTTGAAATGGAATACTCAGGATGAAACGGTGAAATCTGCTATGATTAAATGGGCACAAGATGTTGGACATAACATAATGATGGCTGACTGGGAACAGTTATGGACCACAGGTATGAAGTTTACGGCATGTAATGCCTTAAGAGAGAATATTATGAAAATGATATACAGGTGGTACATGACACCAGTCAAGCTTGCAAAAATCTATCATTTGCCCGATAATAAATGTTGGAAATGTAAAGAAACTGAAGGTACATTCTTTCACCTTTGGTGGACATGCCCAAGGATTAAGGCTTTCTGGGAGATGATTTACAATGAAATGAAAAGGGTATTTAAATATACCTTCCTCAAGAAACCAGAGGCCTTTCTCCTGGGCATGGTCGGCCAATTGGTGCCAAAGAAGGACAGAACTTTCTTTATGTATGCTACAACAGCAGCAAGAATACTTATTGCAAAGTATTGGAAGACACAAGATTTACCCACTCTGGAAGAATGGCAGATGAAGGTGATGGACTATATGGAACTGGCGGAAATGACTGGCAGAATCCGAGACCAGGGAGAAGAGTCGGTGGAAGAAGATTGGAAGAAATTTAAAGACTATATACAGAAATACTGCAAAATTAATGAATGTTAGAATGATGTCAGAATGAAGTTAAGTGGTTTTAGCAGTAATGTTATAAAGGTGTATGTAAAAATGGATTGTTAACAGGCGAAAATCCAAAGTTATAATATATTAAGTTAAAGGATTAAGACAAAAACAAAGAGGGAAAGGAATTGCTGAATTAACTAACAGAACTGGAATACAAAAAAGGGAGGTGTGAGGAGGTCAGGGAAGTAAGGAAATGAAATGTAAGGCATGGAAAGACTGATGTGTTTTTTAAGTGTTTTTTATCTTTTTTTTGTATTTTGTATTTTTTTCCTTTTTGTTTCTTTTTCTCTTTTCTTTTTCTCTTTTTATTTATGTAATCCTTTCTTTGAAACTTTAATAAATATAATTTTTAAAAAAGAGAGAGTTGAGACAGTTCTCTAGTGCTTCTTTTTTCTTGCTTCTCTAGCGCTTCTTTTTTCAATGGGCAACCCTTATCCCTTGCTTAGTACTAAAAGTCTTGCTCTTTTATGAGCTGAGTGTGGCATTCATTTGCTGTTTAAAGCTGAAGCACAACAAATGGCAATTTGGGTTTTCTGCAAATTGCTATTTGCTCCAATTTGGTGGTAAAGAGTGGGCTTTTGTGGAGAAAGCTCCAGAGGAAGAAAAAAAGAGGTCTCCAACACGGAGCCTTAAAATGCATGGAAAGCACATAGGTAGCTGTGGATAAGCCTGTAGTCTGCTCAAAACTCAGATGTGGCCATCCATGCATGTACTTCTTTGGAGAGACTTTATAAGATAAATTTGAAAAGAAACTAAGATAAATATTAACTGATTATAGTTGGCAGGAATTGTGATCTGCTTTGAAAATGTAACATAACAAATAGTAGTTTTGTAACTTATTATGGGAAATTTTATATTGTGTTGGTATGCCAAAAATGAAATGATTTTTTTAAAAAGTCAAGATAGTGCTTTGGGCTGAATATATTGTTATGAGTTTGGGGTGTTAAGCTGTGTTCCTGACCCCTCTAATCCCTGGATCCAGCAAGTGTTAGAATTTGATCAAGGCTTCTAATTCCTGGACTAGGTTCCTGGTGAGGTGATAGGCTGGGTGATGAGCTTTTAACAGGAACAAAGGAAAGAGGCTCAGTGTGAGACGGCAAATGAGTGTGTGTATGTCCCCCCCTCCCTCAGTAGAGGAAAGCAGAATTGAGGGCAGAGAGTTGCAGTGAAGTGGGCCAAATGTAAAGCAGCAAGCTGGGAGAAGATAGAGAGCCAGAGCCATGCCTGATTTCTGTTTGGATCCAAGGCTGCAGCTGTGGGAGAAACAAGACCCTTTTGGGGTGTTCATGCTATGAACCTCTCCATCTCCAGCGCATATATATGTGTGTGTGTAGATAAACCATATATCATAAAAACACCACATTCTCCACTTTGCCTCATTTCCAAAAAGAAACACAAACCCTGGGTAAGCGCCTGGAAACCCCTATGATCTTGCACCTGTCTCCCCATATCCATGCATTCAGCATAGAAGAGGGGTGACCCCACTTCCCCTTAATTGTGGAGAGTTCTGTTCACCTGACTAGCACACACAGGAGGCTATAATCTTTGAACAAAATGGCAGCCTTTGCCCTACATGGCAATAACATCTGTATTTACTTGGGGTTAAGTCCTGTTGAAGTCTAGAGGATTCTTGTACAGCAATACAAAGAATTGTGTTGTCTGTATGGAAATAATAAATGAATATTTGCTCATGAATGTTAACTTCAAGAAACAATGTGTATTCAGCCCCAGTCAGCGATTTACTTCTATGGACTCTGAGGAGATTGCTTGAACCCTGAAGAATGGCATGGATGGCAATACAAAATTGCAACAAGACACAGGAAAGTGTACCCGAAAACCTGGACATTGCTTGCTACTATGGACAGCTGTGACATACAGTTTCACGGTTCGAAATTTTGCTTAACTTTTGACGTTTTAAGGAGGCAAAATTAAGTGAAGAGGCATCTTAAGGCAGCGTATTTTAACATTTTAAAATATTATTCTCCAACCATAATTGAAGCCATGTGAATGTATTTCTTCCTGAGGGGTGGGGGGAGTTCCTTTCCTGTCTTCCAAATTCAGTGTCGTGCTGGAAACATGCACTTTAAAGCCACTTTTAACGTGTGGTCTTAATTAAGCTATGCAGAATGCTATTAATTTCAATAGACTGTGGTTTGTTATGTGCTGCTTCTAAGTAGCTTTGAATGGTTGCTGGCATTGGAACCCAACAATCTTCTGGCATTTTGACTGGAAAGGTTTTGTGTCAGTTAATAGAATGCAAGCTTGTTGATTTACATGCTTCCCAATTTATATTCTTCTACAAGTATATAAAATCTACATTGCTTCTGATGGACTCATTGACTTATTCAAGAAGCAACTACTGTATGCAATGTTGTATCACACAGGATGTGCGTTGGAACTTACAAAAGGGAATAGCATTAGTTAGAAAAGCATGCTGGTAGAAGTAGGGTGTGAAATCTAATTAAGCTAAATTTTAGCATGGGATGAGAATTTCAAAAATCACCCAATATCTGCCCTGACCAAACTTCATTTTACTGGTGGTTAGGGATTTCAAAGAATTCTGTCAGAAACAGGAGTCAAAATTGCTGCAGTGTGCATGTTTGTTCAAAGTCAGGAACAGACATCATTAAAGTGAATATGAGCTGTTGTTTTTTAGCCTGCAGACATTACATAAGTAACTCTATTATTTTCTGCATTGTTTTTGATGTTTCGCTTCCGCAGAACTCAATTACATTAGTTTCAGCCATAGTGGATAGCAAGATGAGTAGCATTGGTTTATAAGGAAGGGATACTGTTGTGGAAAGGAAACAGCTGATGGGATGGAATTCTGTTATCCCCACTGACAGCCAAGAGGATGAACTAGGCACCCTCCAGCTCTCTGGCTCCTTGTTGTTTGGCTCCTAGTGATGTTAGCTCTGAACTCTTAGCTTTGCCTCTGGAACATGTTTGGACTTTGGCAACTTTTCTGTGCTTGACCTTGGTTTGTTTGGATTCTGCTGCATCTGCAACCCTGTTCTCTTTGACACATACTTTGCTGAAGCCTTATATCTTCTGTAACTGGGGTCCTGGACCCAGAGGGCATCCCCTGGAGTATGGCAGTAAGTGAGATATTATGAGTTTTTCCTCTATTGCTTCACAGAGTCCAGTACCCTGGGCCTCAGACAGGGCAGGGCTAGTGGTCATTTGAGACATACTGTGACTGCAAGGGGCTGTGGGAGCCTTGGATTTCTACTGACATTGGTGACATCCAATGGCAGCAAGTGTGGCCTGTGCTTTTAGAAAAATGTTTTCAACCACTCCTTATGTCAGTAACTTTGGAATGCATGTGATATATTGCGATTTTGGCTTCTGCCAAATGCAAGAAGTTCAGTTGGTTATGTTAGTTGGAATATATGCACATGTGCACAACTAGCTGCTGTCTGTAGTCAGTGTTATATCCCCAGTGTTTTCACTGCCAAACAAGCATCCCCCGATGACTATAGAATTTCTATGAAAGAGCTCTTGCTCATATTAGAGAAGTGGGTGGGCTTGTGCCGCTTTCTGCACTCTTGCTGTAAATATGTGAAGAGAGAACTCCAGTCTCCCCTGCACTGAACTGAATGAGCTGTCAGTGGAGCAAATGCGTGAATTCTTCTATCTTGAGACCCTAGTTTGGCACGCAATTGCTGTGAGGCTTCCCCTTCTGCCTCCTTCTGTTGTGTCCAGAAGAGCCCTTACTAGTTTTAATGAGATTTCCCTCTTCTGTTCCTGATATTCAAGTTCTAGAAGCATTCTTCAGTTAAATGCTTGGTGTCCAAAAGTGCTCTGTTGTTTTGTTCTTGTTTTGTTTGTTCTCACATTTCTGCCCCTGCCTGGAAAAGTCCTACAGACCCTTCGTAGGAAGTTGCTTCCTCCTAACCCCAACTCGCTTATGCTCCTTCAGCAAAGACTTGACTGAACCACTCTTGTCATAAATGATTGACAGCTTTGCTATCCTCAGATTGCTGTGGGCAGTGGCTGAGTGACTCAGCAGTTGCTATATTGTTTTTGAAACTTAGCCATGGAAAGCCGGTAGGCCATGGTTCTAACTTGTATTTCCCTTGACATGCTAAATAGTGAGATGCCGTTTTGCCATTCCATTCATACATTGCAGTTATCTTTGGGGGGAGCATTTTTGTCATGAGGGAAGGGTATGAGTAAGGAGTGAATCTTTTGTCTCAATGACTGGTGATGGCTGCTCATTCTCCCTACTGCAGCAACACTGGCTTCTCAGAAATATTTAATTGTCTGGAACTTCCTTGTTTCTTGTGAGTCCACCCTCACCTTCTGGAACTGGCCATTTTAAAAAATGGTGAATCTGAAGATGTTGGGTACCTTTCACTGAACTGCAATGCTCTCACTGCATGCATTGCACCAGGCTGAACACCCCATGCCTTGCCTTACGCCTCTCAGTAAGTGCCAGAGATCTCCTATGTTGAGAAACTGGGAGAGCAACAATGTCCCGCCTGCAGCACCTCAGCGGTTACTACTGGATCGCCTGGGGTGTAGGGAAGGTAAGCCCAGGATTGTTCACAAAGCCTTTTTTAACTTCTCCCACCCTTGAAGCCTTTCATTTAGATCAAAATATTTTGTTGAAGAGTCAAGCTGAAAGTACTAAGTTGTAGGTGCTGCCATTAGGAAAAAATTGTGCTAAGGTTGGCCTTAGGCTAGCTGTGTCGGCCTGGATAACACCCATTGTTATCAAGTATAACATGAATATATGTCAGGAGGTTATAGAACCAGATCTAAGCACTAGGGTACCATGCACTGTTTCTGGATGTATGTAGTGATGTTTCAGCTCTAAATCACACAGCTTTCCTCTTTTAATGTACAGTGGACGCTCAGGTTGCGAACGTGATCTGTGTGGGAAGCACATTCACAACCTGCAGCGTTTGCAACCCACAGCGCCACGTCTGCGCATGCGTGGGTCACAGTTTGGCGCTTCTGCACATGCGCAAGCGCCAAAACCTGGAAGTTACCCATTCCAGTACTTTTGGGTTCGGCGCGGTGCGCAACCCAAAATCGCGCAACCCGAAGCGTCTGTAACCTGAGGTATGACTGTATATTGTATGCCTTCCAGGGAGAGGCTGCGGTATATCTGTTGGTCATATGAAATAGCTTTTTGAGGAAGAGTGCTCTAGCAAGAATACCTGTTTTGTTTACAAGCTTATGGTGCGTTGAGTGAACCTTATGTAAGATGGTGAATACAATGTGTTCTATGTGAAGGAAGAGAGACAGCTTGGTGCCTGAGGTTAGAGAGAAAATATAGATGGCACCTCTCACGGTGGTGTGATGCAGCAGCAAAAAGCTAATTCTATTCTAGGCTGCATCAAGGTATAGAGTCCTGATCAAGGGAAGTAGAAGTAGAAGTAGAAGTCCTGCTCTATTCTGCCTTGGGTGAGACTACACTTGGAGTACTATGTCCAATTCTGGGCACCAGAACTGAAGAAGGATATTGAAAAGCTGGAATGTGTGCAGAGGAGAGTGACAAAGATGATCAAGGTATTTTTTAGCCTGGAGGAGACTGAGAGGGGATATGATAGCCATCTTCAAATAGCTAAAAGGCTGTCACATGGAGGATGGAGCAGGTTTGTTTTCTCGTGGTTTGAAGGTTAGGACCAGTACCAGCGGAATCAAGTTACAAGAAAGGAGATTCCAGCTAAACATTAGGAAGAACTTTCAAACAGCAAGAGTTGTTGGACAGTAGAATGTACTCCCAGGACAGCTGCTGGACTCTCATTCCTTGGAGATTTTTAATCAGAGATTGGATGCTTTAGTTGATATTCCTGCATTGCTGGGGGTTGGACTAGATGTTCCTTGGGGTTCCTTTCAACTCTACAGTTCTATGGAAAAAACAGTGATAGACTGAATGGAAGTCATGTTCAATGCTCTTTAATAGTACCCCAAAATGTGCCACCTGAGGTGAGCTTAATGGCTTGCCCTGTGAGTCTATTCTTGTCCCTTCTGTTCCAATTTAGTGAATAAGGAATTTAGAATAGTCCACTTGAATTATTCTTTTCCACTAGGCAGAATATAATGCTTAAAGCACTTAGGGTTTTTTTAATACAGGGTTTTTTTATAATGAAAAGAAGCTCAGTTCTATTTCTGATGAGAGAATTTTAGGAGATGATAGAATTCAGAGCTGTGGACCTATTGAGATGTTACATCAGCAAAAACCCATGTTCAAGTATTTTAAAACATTATGCTCTAGCAGACCTGACTGCTAATTTTACTAGTCCAAACTTATTTTCTACATGACTGAATCCAGAGATTAAGTTTCAGCCTATTACTTTAAAATAAGATTGGGTCTGAAGAACATGCAGAGAGTTCGGGACAAGATTTCACCTTTATCAAACTGAACACCTCTATAGTGCACATTGTGACTTCAACTAGAATAATTTGAAGTGTGTTGCACTGTATTCCAATAGGGGCTTTTGTATTTAACTTTATATGCTCTGTCAGCGCAAGTTAAAAACACTACAGTGCCTGCATTTATTGAGAGTCTTTTCCCAAAAATCACATTTTAAAAACAACCAAATAATGGCACTTTGCCACCCAGATTTGTTTACCCTTGCATTGAGTATTTTCTCACTATAGTGTTGTTTTGCAGATGTGTCCCTTTTTATGAGTAGAAAAATTAACTGGACCATTCAGCAAACTGAAGGAGGAAATAAAAATAATACAACACCAGCTTTAACATAGAATTGTTTTAGCTGCCTTTGTTATCTGTATGTGTTTAAAGCATCCTTGGGCATGTGATCAGATTAGTTCTGAAATTAGCAGTATACAAAAGGTATTTCTGGATATGTTAGGAACTTAAAACATTATTGTTTGATTGCTGTAATTGAAATTAGCTTAGTTATTCAGACATGTTTTGTTGTAGTCATTCCTAGACATTTTTTCTTATTTATTTAAGAGAAGAGACATGAAGAGAGCTACCAAAAAAACAACAACCCTTGTACTTTGTTTTAACAGATGATCCATCCATTGTGTTTCCGTAAATTTATATTCAAGACAGCAAATTAAGTTTTTATTTGCAGTCCAGTATATTTTATTTACAAATAGTATAATACAGTCCCAGAATCATTACAGAATATAGCTTAACAATTTTCATATCTATATGTTTAACCATGACTTTTAAACAGGCAAGTTATACTTTCTACTAATTTTTCTACAAAAGTATAACTTTTAAACATGGTTATCAATAATAATATGATGTCGGGCATCAGACTATCAAATACCAATTATGCACTTTGACAGACACCTTCTCGACTTAAAACATTTCCACTAAAGGATATGGTTGTGCAGTATATTGTACTTAGTTGTTCCAATGCACGATACATTGAATTTTCAGTGTATTGGATATCTCATTATTTTTATTCTCCCACTAGCTTATAGGCTACATGCCATACTCTCAAGACCTTTGGGTGACTATTGTTATAATAATAATAATAATTTATTATTTATACCGCGCCCATCTGGCTGGGTTTCCCCAGCCACTCTGGGCGGCTTCCAAAAGAATATTAAAATACTGTGATACATCAAACATTAAAAGCTTCCCTAAACAGGGCTGCCTTCAGATGTCTTCTAAAAGCCTGGTAGTTGTTGTTCTCTTTGACATCTGGTGGGAGGGCGTTCCACAGGGAGGGCGCCACTACTGAGAAGGCCCTCTGCCTGGTTCCCTGTAACTTGGCTTCTCGCACTGAGGGAACCGCCAGAAGGCCCTCGGTGCTGGACCTCAGTGTCCGGGTAGAACGATGGGGGTGGAGACGCTCCTTCAGGTATACTGGACCGAGGCCGTTTAGGGATTTAAAGGTCAGCACCAACACTTTGAATTGTGCTCGGAAACGTACTGGGAGCCAATGTAGGTCTTTCAAGACCGGTGTTATATGGTCTCGGCGGCCGCTCCCAGTCACCAGTCTGGCTGCTGCGTTCTGGATTAGTTGTAGTTTCCGGGTCACCTTCAAAGGTAGCCCCACGTGGATCGCATTGCAGTAGTCCAAGCGGGAGATAACCAGAGCATGCACCACTCTGGCAAGGCAGTCCGCAGGCAGATAGGGTCTCAGCCTGCGTACCAGATGGAGCTGGTACACAGCTGCCTTGGACACGGATTTAACCTGTGCCTCCATGGACAGCTGTGAGTCCAAAATGACTCCCAGGCTGCGCACCTGGTCCTTCAGGGGCACAGTTACCCCATTCAGGACCAGGGAATCCTCCATACCTGCCCGCCTCCTGTCCCCCAGAAACAGTACTTCTGTCTTGTCAGGATTCAATCTCAATCTGTTAGCCACCATCCATCCTCCAACCGCCTCCAGACACTCACACAGGACCGTCACCGCCTTCACTGGTTCTGATTTGAAAGAGAGGTAGAGCTGTGTATCATCCACATACTGATGAACACCCAGCCCAAACCCCCTGATGATCTCTCCCAGCAGCTGCATGTAGATGTTGAAAAGCATGGGGGAGAGGACAGAACCCTGAGGCACCCCACAAGTGAGAGCCCAGGGGTCTGAACACTCATCCCCCCCACCACTTTCTGAACACGGCCCAGGAGGAAAGAGCGGAACCACTGTATGACAGTGCCCCCAGCTCCCAGCCCCTCAAGACGGTCCAGAAGGATGTTATGGTCGATGGTATCAAATGCCACTGAGAAATCCAGCAGAACTAGGCAACAGCTCTCACTTTTGTCCCTAGCCCGCCGGAGATCATCAACCAGTGCGACCAAGGCAGTTTCAGTCCCGTGATGATTCCTGAATCCCGACTGGAAGGGATCCAAATGGTCCGCTTCTTCCAGGCGTGCCTGGAGTTGTTCAGCAACCACTCGCTCAATCACCTTGCCCAAGAATGGAAGATTTGAGACTGGGCGATAGTTGGCCATCGTGGCCGCATCTAAAGATGGTTTTTAAGAAGCGGTTTAATAACCGCCTCTTTCAGTGGGTCTGGGAAGGCTCCTCACGGAGGAAGCATTCACCACCCCACGAAGCCCATCGCCCAGCCCTTCCCGGCTAGCTTTTATAAGCCAGGATGGGCAAGGATCAAGGAGACAGGTGGTTGGTTTCACTCGTCCAAGCAGCCTGTCCACATCCTCGGAGGTAACAGATTGGAATTGATCCCACGCAATTTGACTAGACAGGACTCTAGCACTCTCCCGCCCGGCCCTGCTCCCACGGTGGCGTCTACCTCTTCCCGAATCTGAGCGACTTTATCTGCAAAAAACTTTGCAAAATCATTGCAGGAGATCATGTGGCCCGTACTGGGCCCCGATGTAGCAGGTGGTTCCGCTAAATTGTGGACCATCTGAAAAAGTCTCCTGCTGCTGTTTTCTGCAGATGCAATAGAGGCGGTGAAGAAAGTCTTCTTCGCCATCGCTACCGCCACTTGGTAGGCTCGACATTGAGCTCTAACCTGTGTCCGGTCAGCTTCAGAATGGGTCATCCGCCACCGGCGCTCTAGCCGTCTCAACGATTGTTTCATTGCCCTCAGATCCGTGGAAAACCACGGGGCTGTCCGGGCTCCATGCAATCGGAGATGGCACTTGGAGCCAAACAGTCAATAGCCCTGGTTAACTCCACATTCCAGCGGGCCACCAGGGAATCAGCTGAAAGGCCATCAACATGGGATAAAGCATCCCCTACCACTCTCTGGAAACCATTTGGATCCATTAAGTGGCGGGGGCGGACCACCCGAATCGGTCCCACCTCCCTGCAGAGGGGAAGGGTCGCAGAGAAGTCAAGTTGCACCAGGAAGTGGTCTGACCATGGCACTTCTTTCGTTTCGCTTTTACTTAGGGTCAGATCACCAACATCCATGGAGGTAAACACCAGGTCCAAGGCATGTCCGCGGCTATGGGTTGGGCCAAACTTATTCAGGGACAGCCCCATGGAGGCCATGCTTTCCACGAAGTCCCGAGCGGCCCCTTGTAAGGTCGTGTCGGCATGGATATTAAAATCCCCTAGGACAACCAAACTAGGTGTCTCCAGGAGAACATCCGCCACGACCTGAAGCAGCTCGGGCAGGGAATCCTTGGTGCAGCGGGGAGGTCGGTACACCAAAAGGAATCCTGTACTGCCCCTATTGCCCAACTTCCAGAACATGCACTCAGAGAACTGGGTCTTCCCAATAGGATGCCTGGTGCAAACTAATGACTTCCTAAAAATCACTGCAACCCCCCCTCCCCACCCACAAGGCCTGGGTTGCTGTGCGTAAGAGAAACCTGGTGGACAAGCAGCGGCAAGAACAGGCCCATCTGCTTCATCCAACCAAGTCTCTGTTACACATGCCAGGTCAAATCCTCCATCCATGATCAAGTCATGGATGGCAGTGGTCTTATGAATCATTGACCTGGCATTGCACAGCAGCACCTTCAGGTCATGTGGGTATCCCTTGCTGATTCTAGTATCCGTCCGGTCAGGACCAGACCCGGAGGCAGGGATAGTCCTCAGACAACGACTAAACCTGCCTCCTCTGTAATGACATGGTCTGGTCTTAGCGTAACTCCTCCTCCTACCCGTGATCACTGAGATCGGTTGTCCCAGCGCATCCCCCTCTGTGGAACATGCCCCAGCCATTTTGTTGGCTGGGACCCACTCCCCGGCAGCCCTGACCCCTCCCCTTAAGAACAAAATAAGACCTTAAAACAATAAAAACAAAACAAAAAACAAAAAAACCCAGAAAACAAAAAACAATACAAATAAAAAACTATAAAAATTACAAATCCATCAAAATCAAACAAATTCCCAACTAAACATCCATCCCACCCCCATCCCCGTCCCCGCATATACAAAAAAAATAAAATAAAAAGGAAAATTTTAAAACATTTTAAAAAGAACTCTGCGCCCCTCCAGATCCCCCTGGGCCACAGCAGCAGTGGCAGCAACCGTCCCTGTGAGGCCTGTCAGGCCCCACCCTGGGCCAGGTGGTGAGTGCCAGGAGCAGGGCCCTCAGGCACTCACACAGGGGAGTCCTCCTGGGCAGCGGAGCACAGCAGTCCTTATGAGGCTTCAGGTCCTGCCCCGGGCCAGGTGGTAAGCGGCAAGAGCAGGGCCCTCAGACACTCACACAGGAGAGTCCTCCTGGGCAGTGGAGCACAGCAGTCCTTATGAGGCTTCAGGCCCCGCCCCGGGCCAGGTGGTAAGCGGCAAGAGCAGGGCCCTCAGACACTCACACAGGAGAGTCCTCCTCCTCACACAGGAGAGTCCTCCGTTAATCCCTAGAGATATAAAAAAAGAAATAAAACAATAGGTACAATAGCAAAGATCTGGAAATCTACAGAGGTGTTCACTAATGGAGAGTTAATAACTATTATGTATGTGAAAGACACAAGATTCTTTTTTCAACAAAAAATGGGGCTGGCAGTTTGACATCTGTTGATGATAACTTAGCTATTGATGAGTACACATGCAAACATCCCCTTTTAACAACAGATTTGCTCTTGTCAGTGGGTCTTTCTTCTTCTCTCTTTCTCAAATGGCACCACTGGCATGTTTCTCAGGTGATTCCGTTTTCCTAATACTGTAGGCCCATAAATTTGCTTGCTGCAATCGTAACTATATAAAATAGATCCATTATATTCAACTAGAAAGAATTATGTTAACAAAGACTTGTGATACAAGCGGTGGCATGACACTGGTGAATTATTCGTCTTCATACTTACTTTATTTAGATCATCTGCAGAACTTTGTGGCTGCATGGAGAACTAAACCCCCAGGCCTCAGACCCTAACCCAACACTATAAACCACTAAGTGTTTGACTGAAAAGGCGCTCTCCATCCAAATAAGAGGAAGCCAGTGTTAATTTGCAAGCGTCAAATATAGTTCTGTGCATAGCAAAATTAACTCAACATCACAGTACACAGGATGACTTATAATGGCTACAAACATGAAGCAAGATGGTGCATGAGCAGCTTGCATGTAACTTTTTGAGAGTTGCAGATAACCTGTTTTTAACATTATTTAAACTTTTGATATATTAGATATGCATCTCTCTCCAGTGTAAATTAGTTTAATTCATCGGAGCTGTTGAAAATCCAGATGGTGCTATAGCTTATGCGTTTCTAAGCGGCAAAAAATGCATGACGCATAGCCTTCCTGGATGTAATGTGACAAATAACTGATCAAGCTCCGTGTATTCATTCATTACTGAGTGGATGAATGAATTGAAATAACAATGATTTCTTGGGCAGCTTCATTTTATAACCCATATTTTACAGTGGCTATTTTTTTTCTAAGGTATATGAAAAGGGTGGCTATTAGAGAAAGAGAGAGACAGTTGACAGAAAAGTTACTCTGCTACAAGTACCTACATTTTTGAAAGGTGCAAACCTGTAAATTCTGTGGATTTCTGCTGCTTCCTCCAAAGGCTCTTTGTTAGTTAATGGCAGTAATAACAAAACTAAACCCTCTATGGTTTTCTTGAGACCTCTCAAGAGTAGTAAATTTTGACACAAAGTGGTAAATACGGAGTAGTAAAATTTGACACAAAGTTGAATTGCACACTTACCAGGAAGTAACCTCCTTTGAATTCAGCAGAGCTTACTTTTGAGTAGAAATGTATAGAATTTCCCTGTAAGTGGCTTATTCCAATTAGAGTGATGCAAATATGTGGTTAATCCTGGAAGCAGAATGAGTGAGTTGCATATTTTATTTTTCTTGTTAGCGGAACCCTTGCAAGATCCCATAGGAAGCCATACTATCCCATGGAATGTCACGAAGGATAGGCGGGACCAAGAGCATAAAAGCCTCAGCCTTGAAGCGACAGGGCCATTTTGCCCTGAGAGCTTTCCTACCCACCCACCTTGTGCCTCACTGGGCTCCTTGAGTCATTGATTAACAGGGTTAGAAGGGATTCCCCTCCAGCATCAGCTGGCTCTGGGCTCAATGTTTTTTTCACCTTTTTCTTGCTGAGCATTTCATCATGTTAGGCATTCACCATCTTCGGTCACAACTTTGTGCAGAAATAACATTAGGCAGGATCAGCCATCGAACAGACTGTTATTCCAGCAGCAAAGGGCAGATTGGAGTGACTAATCGATCCTTGTCCTATGGCCATGCCAACGCTGCTTAGCTGCTTAATAAGTAAAGTTGTGGCCTGATGTCACCCAAACACTCTTGTCAAGTGTGTCTTTGACTTCCACCACACACATGAGCCACAAAACCTGCTCCTGCCCCTGCCTGAACAAGCAAAGTTTCCATAGCCAGAGTACATAACTTGGATTTTATATGTGCCATTTGATGCTTTGGCAACAATTGTGCAACCAAAAACAAAGTCCATATTTTACTTGCTTGCAGCAACAAAATGTGATTAGAGTATCCAAAAGGGGGAGGGGGATTAATGAATATTGTCAATCGTCAGAAAAGGAACTCAGTGGAACTTACTCCTGACTAAACAGGCATAGTATTGGGGTTGTTATAATTTTAACGTTTAACATTAAGTGAAATTTGAAGGAAATAGCTTAAATATAGTGAAAAATATGCATTTTTCCTTAATTTATTATTTCTTAAGATGGAGCTTTTCTGCTGCATTTTCAACTTGAGCTAAATATTTGATCCAAATGAATGTTATTGATGCATTCAAAAATAGTATTTGAAGTCTTTATCACTTAATTGAGTTTACTGATAATCCTCCATCTCCATCCCTTTTGGGTTACCAGTTCCAGAACAGAACTTGGAAAGTACCAAGAAAGTGATGCATGACAGTATAGCCCCCATGTTTGAATAGTTTAAGTTAATGGTCTATGTTCCTTACAATAAAAGTCATAATGTTATTCCCACCCCCCTGCGCCCCCCCCCCACACCCTGGATATTTAAAAGCTCTATTCATCACAGCTTTTATGGACTACCGCTTTTAGTAATGCATATCACTATTCAGAGCTGCTACATTAAACCTGAGTGCTCACTGTGGGTTTTTTGTCTGTGACATGTGCTGGTCACCAAATACCATGCTGCAGGAACTTCCCTGTGGAAATGCAATTCAGGTTCCATTCTGGCAAGTGTCTGATTGGCACTTTTTGATCAAAACTGTAGTTGACAGGAAAGCATTGTACCACCGGCAAGAGAGATGTGTCGAGCAGGGAACTCTCTTACAAGCTAATTACTGTTCGTGATCATGTTGAATTACCAAAATGTCTGATGTGTTGGAAAACCAATGTGACATTGCCTTGGGCTTTTTTCCTTTAGTAATACCTTGGTACGTGTATAATATTGTTCATTGAAACATGTTGAGCTATTCTGTGCGCTTTAAGATATTCACAACTTTTGTATGCACCTGGGTATTTCCACAGTTGTCCAGATTCAAATGTCAATTACCATGTTATGGTATGTTGTGCATAGTGAGTAGGTGTGTGTTAATTAAATTGCTATGAATGTTATAAAATGCGAAGCTGAACTATTAGGCAGTGCAATGCTAAAGCTATGCTAACTTTGAAAAGGCAACCACATTAATTAAAACATTCACATCAATTCGGAAGTGTGTCCATCATTCACTGAGTGTGGCATTCATTTGACTTATGAGTGTATGAACAGATTAATCACCAAATATGTGGTGATCACAAGCCCAATACTTTTATGACGGAGACAGTATACATATCCAGAGGAGAAACATCTAGAGTTGGGTTGTGACCTGCTATAAAGGCATGCATGAACCAGGTTTCTGCTGAGAGCAAATTCAAACTACGCATTGTGGTTTTCTAATATTGGTTCTGCCTTTTAGGACAACTGAATGCATCTTTTAATCTGTTGGCTTTATTTTCTGCTGTGATTTTCCTAATTATGAGGAAGAAACATGCAGTAGCTGAAAGCTCCAACTATTTAGCCACTTTAGGCGGATAACCCATAGCTTTTCAGCAGACATATTTGTCTAGAATGAAACAGGAGATAGCATCAATGTACAAAATTTATAGAGTAAGCATCAACTGTTCAAATAAATGTGTTCTATAAAAAGTCAATCCTTTTAATCTTACGTCTGTAACTTAATCACTTATAGGAACAGTAAATTATTCTCCTAATTAGTACTCTTTAGTTTAAACATGTCAGTTTGATTTGTTTTTAAACTCTTTCACTATATGTGATAATTACTGAGGGCATGACCCAGTCAAAGTTAACAACTTTCAATACTTTCTAACTTAAATGGAAGAGCTAAATGTCCATTTAAATTTCATCTGTTGAAACCAATAGGATCTTAAAACGCTCTTGACTTTGGCTCATCATGCCCTAAGAGTTTAGCTGAGAACCTTGAGACAAATGAACAAAAATAATTCTTGGACTATTTATTCATATTTCATATTGTGCTGCATTTATACAGATTTGAATATTGTCTGGCATGTATACTATCAATAATACTCAGATAGCACTGGGATCCGAAGTACTGTGCAATTAATTTATCCTACATATTGACAGAAGTTTTAACCCCATCATCTCTGTATCCTAGAGCAAATATCAAGAGCATCTATTGTAATATGGCACGAAAATTTGTGTTTTGGAGGCAGGGCAGAGACATCACCTTGCCAACAAAGGTCCATATAGTTAAAGCTATGGTTTTCCCAGTAGTGAGGTATGGAAGTGAGAGCTGGACCATAAAGAAGGCTGATCGCCGAAGAATTGATGCTTTTGAATTATGGTGCTGGAAGAGACTCTT